AGTTAGTGTGAAAACCACAACGACTTCAAGACTCCCAATTACAGACAGATAGTTCTGTAGTGTGAACAGTACAGCGATCTGAGACTGTCATGTAGTGTGACCAAGGCATTTGTTATCCACGTAGGTAACAGCGCCCATGCAATAAAATGCCTGAGTTAAGATTTGTTAGTCTTATTTTAAGTGACAGGATGAATCAATAAATCTTCTCTGACAGGCGTAATTATCTTCTTATTGCTTCCAGCTATGTCGACCAACCGCCCAATGTCCTATGTTCAGTTTCGCTTGTATTTGTTTCAGTTTCATCTTTACACAGACATAACTTGAATTTAATCCACTGGTATTTTATGAATACTGCACCATGTATAGTTTAGCCATTTTCCTGTTGGACATGTCTGCCACTGTATCATCATCATCATCTCCCTCTGTCAGCTCTGGTTTCACTCCAAGGACCTGTTGGTGTGGAAAAAAATTACATTACATTTACTTTATTTATACTACTTTTACTATTATAAAGTAGTATAAGTACTATTACTTATATAGCGCCTTTCGACCACTCAATGCACTGTACACTACACCAGTGTGTACTCTCTCACCCATACACATACTGATGGCAGCAGCTGCAATTTGGTATTTTAGTATCTTGCTCAAGGACACTTCAACATGCATTGAGAGGCCAAGGATTGAACCACCACCCTTCTGATTAGTGGACGACCCACTATACCTCTGAGCCACAGCCGCCAGGAGGTTGATACCACTCCACTCTAGCCTAGCTTAGCATTAAAGACTGGAAGCCGGCAAACGGCTTCCCTGGTGTCCAAAATACTAATACTAATAATAAGACTCGCTCAAAGCCTACGTAGTATATGACTTGACCGTCAGCAGTAGTAAAGCTAAATCTGCAATTTTCTGTAGTGGTCTCATTAATATTTGTTCTTAAGGTGCACTGAAGCAGACCACATGACAGGGTTATAGTCTGTTTTCTAGCCAACAGAGGAAATATTACATGTGAAAATTTGCACCAATGACATTGAGCTTTCTTGATTCCAAAATACAGGTCCAATGTATTAAAAATAACATAAAAATCAACTCAAAATGAATCACATTAATCAAAATCAGCCAACGAGGAGTTAAAATAAGGCTACCTCCTGTTTAAACGGCCATTTTGCATTTTGAAAATGTCAGAAATAGATTCAGCATCCTCAGTAACCCACAAAACCATTCCACTGTTGTTCAAATCAGTCAATCAGTTGCTGAAATATTGTCCATATAGGTGATTGATGATGGCTGCAATCCACCATCCCTCCAGGACCTATACGCCTCTAGGACCCTGAGGCATGCAGGCAAGATTGTGGCTGACCCCTCCCAGCCCTGTAACAAACTCTTTGAATCACTCCCCTCTGGCAGGAGGCTGCGGTCCATCAGGACCAAAACCTCACGCCACAAAAGCAGTTTCTTTCCGTCTGCAGCTGGCCTCATTAACAAGGCCCGGACCCCCACTGACACTGACTCTTATACCCAAAAAACTTACTTGGCAATAAACCTAGTTCTGATTCTGATAATGCTTATTAATGCAAATTATGCTAATTGACTAACATATGCAAGTTAGCATCTGACAGTTTCTAAAGCTGGGGATCCAAACTGTATATTTCTAATATAAAACTTTGGGGTACTCAACATTTCTGGGTTAACATTGACTCATTTTACAGGTTGCGGGGGGAGGGTCATAAAGTGGGTTTACTATATTGAAAATCAATAAACGGGGTAAGGGTAAAGTAGTCAATTCACATGACTTCAAACAAACCTTCAAAAATATACACTTGACACAGACTCCAGGTCTGTACTTAAGCTACAGTAGGTAACTTTTATAAAAACAACTTTGTTACATTTGCTGAAACTATTACTATATCCTGACAGTAGTACATGAGACAGATAATCTGTGGAAAAATCAGGTTCCTCTGGCTCCTCCTAGTGCTCCTAATGGTATTTGTAAGAATCCACCGGGCCTGAACAAAAACAACCAATCAGAGCCAAGGAAGATAGTTGATTGTTTGGTCTCATTCCCAGGTTGTCAAATACAGATGCTGAGAATGAGACTGAACAATCAATCTTCAAGCTACCTAAGTCTTTCTATCTTACTCAGCTCTCACAAAACGTCTGTTTTTAATGACTTTGGAATGAGACAGTTAACAGTCAACTATCCTTCTGGCTGGGATTGGTTGTTTTCGTTCAGGCCCAGTGGAAAATGGCATTCTGAAATGCCATTAGGCACACTAGGAGAAGCCAAAGAAACCTGATTTCTTGCAAATATGACAAAACCTTATTTTTATAAAAAATATCTACTGCAGCTTTAACCAGTCCCTCCAGAAAAACGTGATTATGCGATCGCATAATTCAACGCATAATCAGCCAAAGTCCACATATTTATGCGGGCACTTTCGCCGCATAAATTGTCGATTTCCACGCAAAATATGCAGGGCTTGCATGATTTCATAATCCCCACATTTTCGTTGCAAAAAAGTCACATATATCTTAGCAGAAAGTTGAAAAATGTTGCGTTTACTTCACTCAAGAGCAGCCATTTTCCCCTGTTGCCATGGGAACGCTATGAAGTGACGTAATTACGCGACGTGAACATCATCAAAAAGGTGCAAACCCCGCGATGAAAACCATACAGTTGTAAGTATATTAGTAGTATGTAAATTTACGTTACCGTAAGAGATTGCACTTTGTGCATTGGAAGCACTTATTTTAACAGAAGATGTCTGTTTTATATAACTACCTCTGGAAAACAGGAAGCACACATTTTATGTTTTTATATTTTATTTATTCATTTTTACAGAAGTTGTCGCATATTCCTTTTGTAAAGCTACAGAACTTGTTTGACTCATCAATGTAAGTAAGTTTGAGCCATGTGTTTATTAAGGTCTGAAATAAAACAAGATGAGAACTTAAATATTCCCAGCACTTTCTGTGATGTAGTATGCTTGTTTATCATAGGAAGTAATAAGAAATGACTCTTTACATTAAGGTAGTAGCCTAGTGAGAACAGGGTGTTGGGGGAATCACTTTTTTTTCTCTTTTTCATCAATCGCAGTTTGTGAAAGTTCCCACAATTTCATCACATAAAATTGCATAAATATCCCGCTTATTCCATCGCATATTTTAAGAAAACTTGCCGCATAATCAAGGATTTTTGCCCGCAACAATCACAAAATAATTCCGCATTTTTCTGGAAGGACTGATTAACACACACACATGAGATTGTGATATCCATCTGAAAACCTCACTTGCAGAGAAAAAGCAAAGAAGTATACATCCCACAATGTTGAAATATGTATTGCAGTCATTATTGGCTAGATTTATTTTATCATTACTTACAGAAAAAGAAAAAACTAATGTCTGAGTCGGACACATCCTGAGACACATGTGAGATAAAGAACTGCAAATGTAAAATAACAGGTTGAGACTCACATCAGTCAACTGCGAAGGTTCACATCCTTCTTCTACAACCACCAGTTGAGCTCGGGCATTTCTCTCGTTGTCACGGATTCCTCTGGCCACTTGTGCTGCCTTCAGTCGCTCAAACGTGTTACACTTGGATCCACACCACTGATAGATCTTCTACAAATTGGTAAACAAACACAGACAGACAGGGAATCATAGAAACTTCTCTATAGATGATCCAGTTTCCAAACATTCAGCAAGAAAACACTGTGCTCTTACGTTGCCGAGGTCGATGATGAAGCAGTCTCCACTGTTGAAGCTGGACCAGCTGAGAGGGACCTCTGTGGCCCTGACGACCCGCCGGCCCTTGATGTGGAAGAGTCTCTGTGCTGAAAGGTCATTGGTGACCACATGGTGGAAACCCGAGGCCACGCCTCCTGTCTGAGGGGCAGAGAACACTGTCACCCTTCTTCCATTCCTCTGTTTACTTTAAACTTCTTCTGTCCCATGAGTCATTGCTCCATGTGGCCAAGTATAATGCTGCTACAGTCTTGATGAGTCAGACTCCAGTTCCAAAACCTTGCTTTAAAATTATACAAATGTCAACATTTTTTTCATTTATAAATATAATATATAAACATAGCTTATATTTAGTTCTTATCAATATGTGTAAACCTAATATTTTTCCTTCAAATTGCATGCATTCGATGTAATCAGATATTTTAGATCGAAACACTACATTTATGATTATGACACACTACAACATGCTCACAAGCTCTGTAGAGCTGAGGACAGTGGTGCTTTGAGCTAAAGGCTAATGGCTAATGGCAGCATTATAACATGCAACAAGTCTGTAGAATCAATCATCTGGGAATCATGAATGTATGGACCAAATCCTGAGCCAAACCATCAAATAAATGTTGAGATATTTCACTGGATAACTGAAAAGTTGCTGGATGTAAACTAACTCAAACTCACTGAAAAACCAAAAATGTCCACCTCAAGGGGGTACCAGAGGATTCATCCAGCAAGATGAACGTCTAATGGACAGACTGCCAGGAAATTAACTAGGTACATTTCTGCTCCCCAGAGGATCCTCCTCTTATTTTGGAATTTCAATTCTGTTTCCCCTGTATTGCCATTCTGAGTTCAAAATGTCAACTTAGCACACACAGTTTAATGGGCCGATGGCATAAAATGTGCCTGAGCACTTTTACTGAGCCCTGGCCTTTCCTCTAGTACCACCCTCAGTATAACCTTTACATTTTCAGACAAGTTTGAAGATTATTTTTATAGGATAATTTGTCTAGATGTTGTTAAATATTTTTAACCCTTTTATGTTGTGTAGTTTACATTGCAGCCTCTAGGGGCTGCAAGCGAAGTGTTTGTTAAAAGGCCAGTATAGGCAAATACAATTTAACTATAATTGACCCTTCCTAAGTTCGCCCCTTTTTGTTCTGTACTCCAATAACAGTTGAACAAGTCTCGGTCAGAACCTCTGTCAACTTCCTCCTTTCCTGTACTTAGTATTGTACAGTAATGAATTTGATCCATACTTTGTAAGTGATCCCTCCCTTGAAGTAGCTGGTGAAGGCTGTTGACTCGACTCCCTGTAGTTCTCTATACTGGACCGGCTTTCCACCGAGGTAGTCATCCAGCTGCACAGTAAAGATGGCCGCAGCAGTACTCTCATCCTGACTGCACTCCTTTCCTTTAAAAAACAAGCACAAGTTTAAATTAAGATCAAGTGACATTGGAAAATTACAGGTGTATCCATTTCTACTGCATTTAGATGAGAATCCACTGTTCTTGTGGAAGGCATTTGCTGGGCAACAAAACTGAATCTTCATGTCCATTCACTTCATGTACATACAGTAATTAAGTTAATTTTAAATTTGTAAATAGCTAGATATCATAAAATTGATCTGAGAAAAAAGATTTCTTGATCCTAAGTCTTGACAATTTTCAAGAGTGCATTGGCATGATGAAGCCTGGGACAGGGAAAGAAGTGTGGCAGGGACGAAAGGAAAGAAAACATTACTCATAGCTGTGTCTAAAATAAGTCAATACATCTAAAGTGTGAATAAAAAGTAAAGTCAAATGGAAATAGTGTGTAAATAGGTTGGTTTCCACAGCTACAACACTATGTTACTGGGAATTTGTGAAGTCTGCAGTGTTATACATTGTAATATTCCTAGCTTATAGTATGTAAGGTCACTGCAGTACCAGTAAACACATTCTAATTTCCTGCCATTACCAGATTTCACCCAATAACTTTTATAAAACTTAACAAAAGTTACATCATTTGATGTTATGAATGATAAATCAGAATAAAAATAAAAAAGCTTATCTGTATTTTACTGACTGTATTTGTGACTTGATACTTGAGTCAGAAGTAGTAGTAATATCCCTCTGGAGTCTGTCTATCCATCAGTGAATCCATGGAACATTGTTATCTATAACATAACTTTATTTATCATGTAGAGACAAGCTGAGAAACCCAGTTGAAGTGCTGATGAGGGGGCTTTCACACACAATCCCATTTACACCAGACTATAAAAAAACATTTTGAATACTGTGAATTATGAATATTTTCAGTGATTTACAATGATACACTACTGACTGAAGAAGCTCAACTGTTTCTCACAGTTACTCACCAAACTACACGATAAGTGTTTGTGACAGGAAGTGAGCATTGTGAGATGGCCATTTGCATGTGTGATTAATGATTAATGCTGATGGTTTCTGAGGACAAGAGCAAGAAAACATCTTAGTGGTATAGATTTTCCGCTCTCAGAGGAAACAGAGAGTTTCACTGCTGCAAGAAGGAATTATGGTCACTGATCAAAACATTTGACAATACTTGGCTCATTAGTAGGATAATATATGCATTAAGAAGGCATATTTTTTCGTATAGGCACGAGCAAGGGTGAAGTTTCCACAGGAAATGAGGACACATGTCCCTCTCACTAACAGTTTCAGTTTGATAAACTCTTTAATATCTCCAACACAATCTTTGTACTGTTCCAGCTGCCAAAATCCAGAGCACAGAAGAGAGGAGTTAAAGTCTCTTTCAAGTAAGTACATGTATTCATGGTAATTAGCTGAACAAGCAGCAGTGAGTGATATAATATATAATTTGGAAAGCCCAATTCCAATATAGTGTGCCATTTGCTAGACTGATATACATATTTAAACACATGGAATAGCTTAAGAAGATCAATTTCTTGAGCGCAAGAAAAAAAAAAAATCTTTCAGGACTTCAAAATCAAATCAAGGACTGGAATCAAAATTATAATTTTTTTGCCCGTTTCAAATATATTCACAGTCATAGTTGGGTTTTAAAGGAGTCGGATTTCCTACTAGAAAAGTCAGAAGAACATCACCCAACCTGATCTCAAAATACTGTTTATTAGCAGTCGTGCACACTGTCCAGCTTCTGGCTGTGGATGTTTGTATGAGCAAAATACAGCGTAATGCATGTTATCAACTGGTATTGCTAGAGCTTGGTTAATCGACATGTACTGGAACACAGTCAATTATTACAAAATGACTTACTGTCAGTTAGACTTAAGATGTGGCAGTGGAAAAAGCTGTAAACACAACATACAAGTCTAACATGTTACCATTAGCAAACAGTTGTTTTTTTTACGATATTCCCTCGAATTATCATATTATTATTATGTTAATGTTAATTATTGTGTTTTTCTTAGCTTGCCAGTAGTTCTGAGTCTCTACACAAAATGTTTTTGCCCACAGGAAACACACAATGCCTCATGAGCAGCAGCAATGAGGTTTCCAGGCACTAGATTAAAGTGTTCCTGCTGACAACTGCTCATTATATAACAACAACAGTTATTTCTCTGTAATTGTCCCAATGAGCCTGAATATTTTCTCTTACGTGCTGTGTAAACACATCTAATTTCCTGAACAGAATAGGTCTCATAATAGCACTTTTCTCTTATATTCTGCTCTAGGGCACACACAGATTACAGCATGTGCACAAGTCCTTCAAAATCAATCAATACTTCCTCTTCCCTAGAAGCAAATTAGCTCTCTAGTCTGTCCAGCAATCAGAGAGAGAGAACAGCCCTCACATCAGCATCCTCGCACCACTTTACACATTAACATTCAGGGTCAGGACTGGAGAGCCAAAACACACGCAACTGGTTGGTTCACTCAAATTACGAAAGAAAAACATTCTTTTCCTTCCTTCTTTACTGGTATGTAGTGTTTAAGAAAATAATTCAAGTCCAGTTCAAAGGTTTGCTGTAGTGGTGTGAGTTTTATGACCGAAGGGTCAAATTAACAAGGAGGCAGGAGACAGCAAGAATACACATTTTGCATAATGACAACATCAAGGGTGCATATGACAGATCAAGGAACCAAACCAGCAGAGGCTGAACTGCTCCCAGACGTCACTTGATTAGCAAGTCAGCACTGCCCAATCATTCATCAGTAGCAATGCTTTTGTGTGTCCAGGTTTTTCTGGGAATTCTGCCTCTACCCTAATGCAATTCAAGTAATTAAATAAAAGTTACTCCAACAGCATTTGTTGGGGACCATTTTCAGTGTCAGATTAATCCACATTAGGTGCTCTAGTGAGTATTTGGGGCAAACGGATGGTGGATGTGGTGTATGACTGAGTCAAAAATAACTACAGTGTGTGTGTTCATGGTAATGAAGGAACATGTCACCCTGGGTGCAGATCAATTATTTCTAAATCATTTATGTGATTGCAAATATATAATTAATAGAAGCCAACTCCTCTTTTAAAATAGTGGTCTGAACTGTTGCATAAGAAACTAAGTTGTATTTCAGCCTGATAGCTTACTATTGGACTACGTTTTCCACATTCCATCTATAGCTGCATCTCTATAGGTGAGTCTACTGCCTGGTGAGTGCTAGGACTAAAATAAAGTCTACCTATCAACGCAATAAAAAGGTTTAAAAATAGAACTGGTGAATTAACTTATCGCCCAGCCAGATCCATATTTATAGGTAGCTAGCTAATGTTACATTGAGCATACCCGTAAAACCTCCAATAATAGTCCAGGCATGTATTTGTTTGAACAGCCTTCATTAGAGACAGGCCATTATTTGAGACAGGCGCTTATTATTCATTTTTAAATCTGGAGACTCATCCCGGTCGTCCAGCTAATATAAATGTTTATTTCACTATTTAAATGTGCGCTGGCCGACGTTAGTCAGCTGCTGTGAACACCCATTGCTCATTACAGAATTTTGCATTACATTAGAGTTAAAGTGTGCGCTATCTCAGTCAATTGTGCTTGACCAGTGAGTTTACAGAAAATTGTAGCTGTAATTGTTCATTTGGGGGTGAAAAATAAGCCTCATGTACGCTCAGGACAGGATTAAAATCACCTCACTCCCTTTACATAGAAATCCAGTCTGAAGGAGGCTTTAGCCAACTTTGTAACTAGCTAACATCTCATTCTGAAAATACTCATCTTCAAGCCAGCAACTGAAAGCTGGGCCTGAGACTCAACATTTAACTATCTTTCTCAGCTCTGATTGGTTGTTTTCATTCAGGCCCGGTGGATTCTTGTAAATGCCATTAGGAGCTCTAGGAGGAGACAGAGGAACCTGAGTTTTTAAAACAGATTATCTGTCTCACGTTCTACTGTCAGTATTTAGTGAAAGTTTCAGTAAATATGACAAAAAGTTATTTTTATATAATGGGACTTATGGGAGAGTGCTATAACCTGGTTATATATGAATATGTTGCTATGTACAATTTTGTTATTATAATTTTTTTTTGTGGGCTAAATACACATCCACCCACCAGGTACTTCCTTAAACACACACACACACACACACACACACACACACACACACACACACTTAACAAATTCAATTCTGACTTCCACAATCTCTCTCACACAGAGCTAGTGTTCATTATTTTCTGATATTTTGATTTGATGAATTCATCTTTTTCTTTTACTTCTGTTTTTGTTTGTTTCTGTTTTGGCAATACTGTCTTTGTTAGACTCCTGCATATTGAATTGAATTCCAATGACCGATTTAATGAGTTAGTGATGTATTTCTTTTAATATTTTACCCTTGTGTTTGTTTCCATGTGGAAACATTATAAAAACAGCTCATAGGAGAATTGTCAGTCTGTTGTTATGTCACTGACTGCATGCCAGGGATTACTGGCTGTGTGAGTAGTCAAACTGGAAAAGTTGACTCCAAAGGCTCCTGAAGTGACTGTTGCTGTTTGTTTGTTTTAAATACAACAACATTCCTACTTAGAAGTGTTCAGCAACAGTTACCCGTTACTATTATAATGAAAAAATACTGCAATTTGAGTCTAACATGATAGCATGATGATAATCTCTTCTTGGTTACACTATTTCCATCAGTCTGTATTGCTTTCCTCAGGAGGCTGCTGAGTGGTTCTCTAGAATCTGATGTGGAATACACACGGGATGTTTTCTACACAACGTTCTTCTCATGAATGTTATTACATTCACTTATTGTTCATTTCCTTTATTTTGAGTGAGAGGAGAAGAAAAATGAACTCAACTGAGAAGACTTACCCAGCCAGTAGTGCAGGTGGTAGAAAAAACTCTTCTTCTGCTGGATAGTGTGGAGGATCACATATGCATCTCCAGTGTAAAAGCTCCCATGCAGGATCTCTGGCACAGGGACCAGCTCCAGATTCTCAATCCTCCAAATCTGCAGGCCCGCTGTCTTCCCAGCTTTGATGAACTCTTTGTGGTGGAGCACCATGTCTGCTGCTGTTAGGCTGTGAGGATGCGTGAGGATCCCAGGCGAGGTGAGAGCAGGAACACACTGCTGCTCTGTTCCTGAGCACTGACAGACTGTGAGTGTGTAGCAGCAGTGCTTCCACTTCTGCTTTCTCTTGCCCTTAGACACACACAGTGGGTGTGTCCACATGCTGCCAACATACACACACCAGCATCCTTAAACACACATGAATCAAGCTTTTCAGCACACATGCGTATACACACACACACACACACACACACACACACACACACCACACACACACACAAACACCCCTTTGATGTTTTTAACTAAATGAAACAAATTATTTTTTATAATTCCATATATATAATTTAATGTCATGTAATTAAAAGATAAAAGTAAATTATAAACACAAAAAACTGATATCTTTTTGCGCATGCATGTATGGATTAAAGCTGCATTAACTGATTTTTTGGCCACTTGGGGGCAGCAACATATCACCTTGACAACATTAAAATGTTATCCTGTCAATGCTAACGCCTCCGCAAACAGTTGTCTATTTACACAGCCAGCAGACACACAGCAACAATATCATTCATTTGACGTTAAACAGTTCTGCATTCAAATGTCTATAAACACTAGCTCTGTGTTCTATATGTAGTTGAGTTGTGTACTGACATTATCCCAAATGTTTCCAACAATGTTTTCATTTCATCATTTTATTCAGGTAGAGCTGCGTTACACCGGTCGCCTGTCGATGGCGTCATATCCCCTTTGTGCCTGGATCAGTGTTGTGGTTGTCTGCCAGAAGCTGTCATACATTGACTGTTGATCCAGTCTGAAGCCACATTGTTACCATCCACTGTTTAGATCTTGGTGCTTTTTAACTCTAGATTTGAACCGGATGAAGGATTTTAGTCATCGGACGTCTGGATCTTAAGTTATCAGAGAAACAAGCTGAGCTAACGTTAGCAGCAGCTCGGCTCGCAGCCCCTCCAGGACGTCCTTTGTCTGTCCAACAGTGTGGGAGAAGCAGTGATTGTTAAGGTGGAACTGCTTTATTCAGTGTTTTTAGCAGTTTTAATTAGTGGGGGATCAAAAAGTTATTTTTATAATAGTTACAAACACTACTAGCATATTTTCACTGTTCATTAAGTATTCAATCTGGCCTACAATCAGAAAAGCTGTATTCATACCTACTTATGTATAATATAAAAAGGCTCAGTAGAAGAGTTCAAAATCAGAGAATCAAAATGGTTTCTGTGAGACTGTTCCAAACTGCTCAGCACTTAAGACATAAAATATTCCATCATTACTAAATAAAAAATGAATGGTCTGGACCACACGGCGTCTGGATTTAATGGGAATCAGAGGTACATTTTATTTTGGGATATTTCCATTGCCTGTGTAAACTCATGCTTTATTCATTTACTTATTTGTAATACATTTCATGGTGGTTTATTCAGTGGCACTGAGGTTAAAGGCAGGAAACTGCCATCTGGTATGACTTCCTCTGAGCATGAGCCTACTGCATCAGAGTGCAAACATTTCACCTCCATACTGGTGTAAAAAGAGATGCTTGGTCCGCTGCAATGTCTAAGAAATACTCTGAACTATAAGTAGCCCATTTCTCTGGTTTTGAATGTACAGTACAAAGTATCACAGAGTTGATATTTGCCGTGTAAAGACTTGGTTGCAACAGTAGACTTAAAGTCAAGCACGGTGAGAGCAAATAGAACAGGGAGTGACGGTAAGAATGTCCCTAAAGGTAAATATGTGAGTACACGTGGATGCTGGAGGTAAGCAGACCTGATGCAGCGCTAGAATGTGAACATAACTTTGTGGTTGCAGACGACAGGCAAGATAATAAAGAGTGCACTGGCAGTTTTAATACAGAGCTTAATACTCAAATGGCTATGAGAGAGTCCAATGGGCCTGACACAGCGCAGTGTGTTTAAGTCTGTGTACTTAAATCACTGGATGCAAATTCTTATTATAACATTGTGAGACATTATTCATTTCACTCAAGTGTTTGATTTCTCCCCAACCACTCTCACCATATCTCTCTGATACTGTTTTGTTGTTTGCCCGCTATACCATTGTTTCTCTTCTTTGGTACATAAACAGGGAAGAAAGTCAGTTCTGAGACGGACATGGTTGGGGGATTCATTTAGTAAATAACACTTGGAGCATCCTCAAAACACTCCATGACTGATATCCCTATGTAAGCAGAAAACTCACATAACATTTAGAACTGTTGGTACAATTTAATCACACTAAGCTCAAATTCATATTACTTATACAGTTAGTTATAGAATACTCGGTGGTGCCCAGGCTCTCTGGCCACAGCTAACAACCATGAGTATTCAGCACCACTTTGATGGGGATTATTTTAAATCAATACAAATATATTTACACCTCATAGACAAAATGTATATTATATGTTGTATGTATATCTGGAGTTGTAACGAAAGTAATTTCCCCCTGGGATTATTAAAGTATTTCTGATTCTGACAAAAGCAAGTAAATATGCATGTAAAACAACCACTCATACTCACAACAACTGAAGAAATTTGATCCCGTTTCCTGCTGGAGTTTTTCTGTCCCCCTGCAAGTCAGACCTGTTTTGACAATACTTGTGGAATTTAGACCAGAAGTTATTTTTATAAAAGTTACCTAATGCAGCTTTAAGGTTGCCTCTGCATAATTTGATATTTAAAATGTTCTTCTTCTACACTGGTGTTATTCTTTAGACTTGAGCACATCTCTGCGGTTTTAGTCCAGATTTTAGTGTTGCTATCTTCCTCCTTACAACTCTGGGATGTTCTAATTTTGGTCTGGAGTTGGATGACGTTCTAGTGAAAGCCTTCAGTCTCCTCTAATATTTGAAGTACACAGACAAATCATTTGCTTTGTTGGGAGATTTGAAATGAACTGGATCACACGGGACGAAGAAGACCAGAGCAAGAGCGAGATCATTTGAGCTGTTTAGAGTCGAGCCGTCATGCAAATCCACCTCCTCAGTGACTTCAGTGTAATGAGGTTTGGTGTCATCACATGATCAGCAGTAGTCACCCCAATCTGAGTACATTTGTATATCAGGATCAACAGTCTTGCACAACAGCTGATTCAGTTTATCTAAACAGATGTTGCATGCTGATACCTCGCGTGATTAATCACATGATGAAGAGGATGATGTGTCTGTTTCCTGTGAGTAATGTTACTGTCCTCCTCTGTGTCATACACCACTGGCAGCTGCAGTTCACTCAGGGAGAACAGCAAGATGTTGGACCTGATGCCAAATGTTTTTATTCTCTCAGACCGGTGCTGTTGTCTCAGTGGGCACATATTGAAATCAGGTTAGGCAGTTTAGAACAGCCGGGTTCTCAAAACGCAGTATTCTGAAAATATTCTGTTACAAACATCATATTAAAAAAATTCTATATATTTTATATCATCTTTGGTGCTGACAGCCAGACAACAAATGAAGTCCTGAAATCTGCTCTCTTCTTATCAACCGCTCGCACACATTTGCAGGCACCTTTACCATTATTTTGCACCAAATTAAATACATTTGTTATATAGAATTGTGGTTTTTCTTTAGTTCTAAATCAAAGGCTAGTTTAGTTTGTAACCACTCTCCTCAGTTCTGGTAGCTCCCTTACTCTCAGCAATTTTTAAAAAATGCATCAGACACCTGCAAAGGACAGTGATTTCAAGGGGCGTGGCCTCCACACCGAACAGAGTAGCAGGAACTGTGAGCTGGAAGTCAGAGTCTGTGTCCACGCTGGAAACACAGAGTCCGCTGGAGCTCTTACAGTCACTAGAAACACATTCACGGCCGTTATAAATGTTTCTGTGTGGTGTCTGTGTTGTATGTATGTAGCTGAGCTAGCAGCTGTGTTGTGGCTCAGAGAGGTAAACGCTCTGGTATGTGTGTGTGCGTGGGATCAAGGTAAAGACTGCACAGATAATCATGTTTTAAAACTTTATTCATGCTCTCACAACAGTCACTATGAATAATGACAAACAAAATGTTTAATGACAATAGAGGTAGTCTAAATTAGAGGCGTCTAAAACAGCTTTTCAAATGTTAAATGTTACTAAGGTTAAAATTAAAAGAACAAGTCATAAATGTGCTTTTCTTCAAATCCCACTCGGTACAAATGTTACAGCTGTAGTTTATCAAAGTTTGTATGAAGATATTATTAAGATCGTTTCTAAGTATTTACAGGATGTTGATATAAATCATACACAATTTTAGATATGCCAAATGTAATTGAAATTCAAAATAGGTCTGATACACAACTCGACGACATTCGGTCAAAGATGAAAAAATATACGACTTTTTAAATCAACAAAATAAATTAGATGGAATGTTGCAGAAAATATTTCCATTGGTATTTTCATTTATATAAGGTAGAAAACTGATTCATCATCGTCATTTCTAGGAGGAAACCAACACAAACCTGTCACCATAACTACTTCTGCTGAACCATATATAATGATCATATAATAGTATAATAATGTACTGTATAGGCTCATATTGGAACTTGACCACACACACCTGTAGTGCAAGAGTGAAAGAAAACATCAGTGTGAGTGTGAGTGTGTGTCCATATATGGAACCATAAGTCGGTAATGCAATTATTGTGACAGGCCTGAACACAGGTAGCAGTTAGTATGCATAATACGCAATTCAACATGTAAAGCTGTAATGGCCATTAAATCACAGGATGCCCCAAAATACTTAAATAAAACACTTATCAGCAGGATAGGGAAAGTGATCTAATGATGCATTCAAGAAATGTTAGAAAGTTGGAAAAAAGTCTACTACTGGTTGGAATTTGTCATGTTTGGATTATGGACAGACCGATGAATCAATAATCTAAATCACTGTTAGTTGCAGCCCTACGTCAGTCCAACACTTACGGGCAAATAGGCTTGTTTACCATTTTACGGAGATAAAGATGAGAAGAGCTAGCTTGGTTCCTATATGTTCATACCTGTCCAATGCCTCTTTATTGGTTTACTTCATTAGGGTTATCTAAAGGTATAGGGTGCAACAAGTAACTCCCCAGCTATCAATTCACTTTCATTCATTCAAGATGAGTACTGTTTGCCATTGTTTAGCGGTGCAAAAATATGTCAATGTTGAAAGACTTACTTTGCCCCCATTAGCAAATCTAATGCTCGTGGAGATTCCACTGAAATGAAATTCTGACGGGCCCATTTGTCCCCAAGGATTAACATTAGCTTACGTTGCAGCCACAGCAACCCTTTTTGATGAATAGTGGTTAAATAAGGGTTGATTTCAACCAAACCAGCGTTGGTGATTGTTGGAAAGACCAAAGACAGTTTTAGTTTTAGAGTTCTGCTTTGTTTCCGTCTCATTGTTTCGGTCTGAGATGCTGGTGCTGTAGTGCAACATCCAGTGGCAAGAGAATTTCCTATATATATGCCCTTTAATTCTTTAAATAGCAAATTATAGATTAAAAGGAGTTTTCACTTCTATCTTCACTTTCTAGCAAAGTTGGAGACAAAGAAGAAACAACAGTGTATAAACTATAAGAGTGAGCACCCAACAACCAAATACTACAGTAGGTAAGACAGTAGATTGTACAGATTCATAGCAGACAGTGCAGTCAGAGAGAAACACTATGACGACATGAGCTTATCTCAGATACAGCAGCATCTGAATTCTCTAAACACCACCTTGATCCTTTTTCAGAAAGCCCAACACACTGTGGGGGAACAGGCTGTAGAGACCTTGGGACCACTAATAAAGTGTGCATTTTAAATAAAGTGCATTATGGTTTGGTAGGTAGTGAATTATCTCTATCAAGTTTTTTTTTTTTTTGCTTAGGGGCACAACTGGCAAACCATACATCATAGATCATGGTTTAAAACACATGAGTGTAGTCTATTATTCACAGTGTTGCCACAATAACTGAAATGATGATGTCACTTCAATACTATTGGAAAGAATCAAATCCCATACTAAATCCTATCACTGATTCTGATTCTTTGAGAGCAGTTGTTATCTCTGGAACATAACTTAATTGTTGCTAATAATTTTTTTTAAGCCTATTATTCAGAGGCAACATTCAACTCCAAGGTTATCTTAAGATATCAAGTATTCTCATTATCATTCATTATTAGGACTTTCTCTTTATAAGCACCTAAAAGTGTCTTTATCTCAGAAACGCAGGGTTTGTACTTTGTGGTCTAAACATTAGTGTCATCTTGGAATTTCTCCACTTTGTCATGACAAAGAGGCAGCAAATAGCAGAGGAAAAAATGATAAGTAGTGCACCTAATACTACTTATTATTTCTCTAAGTATTATATTTCTATATTTTTTGGAATACTAAATACTAATGCTGAAATAAAAACATAATAGAGAAATTCATGGGTGGATCACGTACTTAGGAAAACACAACAAAGCTTATGTCATTATATCAATGTTACCAGGAAACTATTTCCTAATTATGTGATTGGTATCTTGGATTAAACAGTTTTCCTGTAACTATGAGATAAGGATATCGTATTATGAGATTATGTCTAGCACTTTAAATGTATGACATGAAAAGTCATAATTCTGAGATAACTCCATTTCTGTTTTTCTTTGCATAATGCAAGTCACTTCCGTAAGAAACTAAATCTTTTTCTTATATTGGTGTGGATTTCTTCTAGCACTGCTATTGAAGTGAACACTGTGGTATCGTAACAACAGGAGTTTGTTAGACACTGCAGGTGGAGGAGAAAGGAAAACTCAGTAAACCATCTAAGGCCAACTTCCAGGGCCCGAGTCAAGGCTGGTGAGGAGGGCCAGGGGTGTTACTCAGCAGGATGCGAGATGCTGAACGCCTTGGTCATCGCTCTGACAGAGGTGGTGTTCCCTCCACAGTCAACATACTGATACATCTCCTGAGACACCTGCTCCGCGTGACCAAAGTACGTGGTGGTGACGGTCACTCTGCGAAGAGGGACAGGGTGAGGCCCCAAACAAAAACTAAACACAGTGAGCTCAAATGTTTAAGTAAAGGATCAACAACTTACTGCATCATGACGACAATGTTGTGGACCTTGATGGTTTGTAGAGTGCAGTAGTCGCTGGAAAATAGAACAAGTGCTAGTAAATGTGGACACACGTGGACAGACATCTGGCTGCTACTCTCTAATGCACTGTTAGGGTTGTTCCATATTATATTGTCATGATAATACTAATAGTATTAGCAACTTTGAACATTAAGCAACTTTTCAAACCATCTTAGGGCCTTTATATCTAAAAAGACACTAATTTAGAATCTTAGTCAGACCATCAGGGAAATGGAAAGAAATATATTCAATTATATTATAATTCATTCCCATGAATGCTGCTCAGGGTAATCGCAGTCCACAGGGTTTTCCTATAGCATAGCCTATATGTTCATAGTTTGTGTTCAGCTTTTAAATATGTAAATAGTTCCTTTGATCTTCTCCCACCCTTTTGTAGATTTTCTTTTACCCTTTTTATGTCAAATATAAGATGTCCCAGTAGTGAGTTTGTGATTATTTGGTTTGCATTTGCACATTTATTGATCAAATAAACAAGAAATAGGAACTCAACGAATGAGTAAAAGAACAATATAAAGCTGATTGTGGCCAAACACCTTGGGTGATGGTGATTGCAATTTCTTATTCGGATAGGAAGTAGATGAAGTCAGTGAATGAAGTAAAAAAAACTAATTTCTATTTGGGACCATTGTTGTTAAGTCTGGGACAGCTGAAAGTAAAAGTTGGGACGGTTGTAGGACAATGAGGAAAAAAAATAATCCTAAAATACTAGAAAATGGCCCAATGAATCCGTCTATCGCTAGTGTAAACAGCTCAAGCACATAAAACCTCAGACTGATGTGTGGAAGTGATCAGAAGAAGATCAAAATCCGTTCCATACTCTGGTTTAGTGTACTCAGTACTTACTACATGTAGTTCATCTCATCTGCGATGGTGGTGGGGACCATATAGTCAATCTGAAAATGGAGACAGCAGTATAGCGTGAGCTTGGTACCCACATAGAGGAATGGTTAACTGGTGAACAGACGCTGAGCTTTACCTGTTTCATGTCCAGAGGACTGATGGCAGTGGTGTTACTGATGCGAGATTTGCCGATCACTGTCTTGGCAAACTGCACCTGAGCTGTGATGTTGGCCACCTCCACTGAGTAGTAGTTGTTGTTGGTGATATTGAGAGTGTTCTGGAGGAGGACCAGCATTGGGAGAGTTCATTAGTATTAAGTTGTATACTTCAAGCAGCAGACGTGTTTCCTTAACTCATTACAACTCAAAAACTGTGTTAGGGTTAGGGTTACATGGTGTGTGTTTGTGGGTGAGGGAGTTTCTTCTAAGCCACTGGCACCACCTGCCAGCATTTTGTGTTTAACTCAGAGATACCAAATACAATTTGCCGTGCTGTGCCGCCCAAGTTACTTGCAATTAGGGCTGTACAATATGGATATTTCAGCCGATACGATAACCGATTAAAATGTGCTTCTAATGGCCAATACCAGTGAGATAAGCGAAAATTGCACATTCTTGTACTTAAAAATTCATAAATTGTAGTTTTTACACACCCAATGGTAAGAGATGTAGTGAGCTGAGACAGATGATTTAATATTCCATAGCTCCTTTTTAACCAAATCTAACCAACATCACTATTGTTTGTTTTATTTTTTTTTTCTATTAAAGAACCTTAAAAATAACTTTACAGGAGCATGAAGCCTGTCAAACATTTTCCATAAGAATTCAAAATAAATACTTATTATTACGGTCTGGTAATACAAATATTATCCGGTACTTTAACAGTTTAACGTTTTTTTTAAAACCACAACAAATTTAGAACAGAAACCAAGAGTAATGACCCAAACCTGCAGGTATGCTGTCATGATTAGACACTGAGCAAAAACAAAATAGGTTGGTAAACTGGTTTACTTTATACACTCCTTGCAGACCAGTAATTTACCAAGTACACTAAATGTTACTGGGAAAACAATCAGGTTCATCTGGCTCCTCCTAGTGCTCTTAATGGCATTTTCAAGAATCCACTGGGCCTGATGTTTCACAGATTATCTGTCTCATGTTCTACTCAGGATATAATGAAAGCTTCAGCAAATATGACAAAAACTTATTTTTTATTAATGTTACCTACTGCAGCTTTAATACTAGGTTTTGGTACCCATCTCCATACATATATAGATGTGATTTATAGGCTATTTGACTGAGATGGTCTCTGTACTATCATCTCTTCCCCATCTGCAGCTGTGCCCCTCAGTCTCATGTTGAGCTGTTTTTCCTATGAGCGTTAGCCTGGGCATTCATAATTAAATCAAAGATGTGTGATCTTGTTGCAAACTTTCAGTGAATTGCACCAATTGCTTCGTTTGTAAAGAGTTATTGGCAGGGGGCTACACATACACTGCCCAAAAACTGACACCCAGAACCCCAAAACACAGAAAACAAAGGAAATACAAGCAGAGGGCAGGGTCTCTGCAGATTCATTTCCACAAAAGGGACTATGTTTGTATGAGTCTATACATTGCTTTTCAAGCAAATACTCATTCTGCCTTTATGACATTAAAGCCAGTCACTGTCCATTTAATGATCATCAGGCTCAAAGGAACACAGTTTATGCAGTGACATAGCAAACTCAGCACCTATAGACAGGCAACCAAAGCACTTGTCTCTGTAACCATTTATCCACCAGAGGGCAGCAAAGACACAACTACTGGGCACTATAGAGGGATGTCTAGTTTGATACATTCTCTCTGTTGGGAAAAAGATGAAAAGATGGTTCACAGGCAGTAAAAATATTGATGTGGAATACTTAGGCAATCCTTTTTCCTAAACAGTAACATTAGACATATCCCTTGTGTTGCTGCATCCTCCAGGTTTTGATCAGTAACAGGGCTAAAAGGCATTTAAATCACACTGTAAGCTCCAGCGGTTTCAGTGCTCACCGTGATGTTGAGATAGACACTGCGCTTGTCTTGGTCGTAGCTGACGAACACAGACTTCACCCCGACGTAGGACACATCAATGGAGCGAGGGAAGAGGAAGAAGACGGCCAGGCTGGACAGTAACAGGCAGACCGCCACTGACACTGATACATACAACTTCCTGAGGAGGACACAAGTCAACCACACAATGTCAGCTACAACATGTTACACAGATTTCATTTCACATTTATATATGTACTCTAATTTCTTAATTTCGTTTTCAGAATTTTGGTGGTCAGTATACATTCTGTCCAGGTATCCACTCCGCCACGCCACATAAATCGCAGTGGGTCAAAGGCTTTTGATGGAACTTTCATCGTCCATCTTGACAGCCACCAGAGAGACAGTGGAAGCAGTCTCCGAACCCACCAGCTATCGTCTGACACCGTTTTAGCTCTGGAGGCAACGACCAGCTTTTCAGGGCTTCCAATGTAGGCAGCGGATATCCAGAAAACGTAACAGAAATCTGGGCCAAGACTTCCTCTACAGTCTCAATAGCAACTTCATACACACAAATGACAAAAAAGACACATCTTGGGAGCAAAACTATTTGAAAATGTGCGTTGAGAGTTGTGTAACTGTATCTAATCTGTGTGTGTGTAATCTGATGTGTAAATGTGTCTGTAATAATAATCTGTAATAATCTGTAAATATGTACTGAGATCTGTGAATGTGTACAGGAATCTGCAAATATGTCTTCAGAACCCGTGTGTGCGTAATCCAAATTGTAAATGTGTAAAAAAAAAACTACAAATCTGTGTTCAGATTAGCAAATGTATTGTGATTTGTAAATATGTAGACAAATCTGTAAATGTGTATATAGATCTGAAAATATGTGGCCAAATCTGTAAGTACAGACATATTAATTAATATGGCTGAGAAGTATTTACTCCAAGAGGTGGAAATACAGACAAATCATTGGTTACAACTCAGGCGGAACTTTGGGTTGGCTGTCGTATTACACAGCTCCCACCTCACAGGGTTATGCAGGGCAGCTGAGCTAGGGCCAAACGCTACAACACTCGGCTTCCCCTAGGGTAACCAGCTCAGTTAACTAGAGGCAAAATAAAGCTAATGCATGTGTCCACCGGAAAACTAATCACAAGAGCAGCCAGAGGACACAGAGGGAAAACCACAGAATCATTTCTCCATTAAACATGATCCACTTTACCAAAATCAGTGAATAAAGTTTAAAGTGGTGTGTTTGTACCATTGACAGAATATATAAGATTTGTACAGTAATCAGTGAGGCCAGGTCATTTCTCATCTATCGTTTTTCCAACCTAATTCTGGACTCATTTGTGTTCTGATAAACAGTAAATTAAGTAATTTAAGTGCCCCATACCGCTATTTTCCTAGTTTTACCTAAAGTACGTAAAACAATGAAGACAGCGCAGCAATGTCAGAATTGCTGCCCCCAGCTGGGTATATCCGTTTAAATTCAGATGCCAAAATCTCACATTCATATGCAGATATCGGTTTATAGAGATGAAAGGGGGAGGTTCATTCTCAAACTATTTCTTCTTGAACAACATTCAGGTACAGTCACTGAGCGGCCTACTGAAGTCTTGTTGTCACAGTGATGTTGCCAGGAGACCAAAAGCTGGGACAGAACCTGTACTCAGCGAGCCGGAGACACAGCACAACAATGCAGAGAGATAAGCACATAACATTATATCATGTCTAATGTCTATTCATGCCCTCTTCTGTCAGAATTAAACACTTTTTGTTTTCTTGAATAATCGATCATCATCAATCCTTTATTCCTCTCTCAATCCTAATATGTTTTGTTTTTGTTAAAATCCATATTGTTTTATTGGTATTATCAGTTGGTAGTATAAAAGTTTAATTAAACTAATATATCTAAATATATATTTAACACATAAAGCTATTCCCTATGCAAAGAAATAGTGGAATCATGGTGTCACACTCCATCTGCCTGTGTTGGTATCGCAGCCTCTCTGTGGTTTGTTTACTTAGCTGGTGTGGCCATGTGTGTATGTTAGTGCGTGAGTCCCTCCATTTCCAACTGAGTAGAGCAGCTGAAACTGCGTTTTTCTCAGCTAGGTTGGTGAATTAAAGATTTATTTCAATTGTTGGAACGGTGGAAAGACTAACACAGACAGTTTTGGTGAGTTTTATTGTGTTTAAATTAATTACTAAATTAGCATTTTTGTCTCTGGAGTCTGGTGATGAGCGAGTGATATTACAGCTGTTTCTGGTTAAACAAAAGGTCTATCTCTGTGGGGACCCCTTTGAATATTGTTTTCAGATGCTTAGAATAACAATGGGTCTGTCAGTGGAAAAAACATACTATGACAGGTGCATTTGTCCCCAAGGATTAGATAACGTTACATGGCAGCCAAAGGCTATTTTCTCTAACTTGGCGAATTAAGGATTTATTTCGACCAAACCAGCTTTGGCGATTGTTGGAATAACAAACAAAGATGGTTTTCATGAGTTTTATTTTGCTGCTGTCCTATTTGTTTTATGATTAACTTCTATTACTGGTTTTGTAGCACCCATTGTTTTGGTTTTCATTCAGAATTACAACGCTTCAAAGCTGGGCAGTTATCTGAGAATAATATGAACACTCCAGCCAATCGGTATCATGTTTTTGAGAAAAGGTTTCTAAACTTAAGCAAATTATTAAATGTTGGTGGCTCTGTCAGTGCTTTTCAAAGGACACACAAAGACAAAAGTACTTACGTCCTCCTGGGCCGCAGCCTTTGGTCACTGTATGGAATCAATGCCACAAGTTGATTTTCTTGTCCTGAAACACCGGCAACAATCATTGATGAGTCACCGTCCGCTGTTTTGGAAAGTCTGTGATGCAACTAAAACCTGCTTTAAATCTAACTATCACTGGATATTGTACAATCATGTGGCTATGGAAGACAGACAGCTAGCTCTTCTGCCTGCTTGTGTAACAGTTAGACTGGTGTTACCTCTGGGGATCCTCCCGGTGCCCTGACATGTTGGACATGTCACACTGTCCCGCCCTGTGAACTCCACATAAGGAAACTGGGAGATGTCTCCGCCCTTCCCGTCCTCAGTCTGGGTGTCCTCCAGAGGAGAGGTCAGGTTGTCGTGGCCCTCATCATGGCCAGTCTGCTTAGTAAGGTGGGAGAAAGACTTCCCCATGGTCACACCTGGAAAACACAAGAGTAGAATGTGACTCACATCTTCAGCTGTCCATACCAGAGTTCAACAATTGGCTGATTGCCACGGACCAATGGAAAGCAATGTTTAACAAGTAAACAGTAAGAGCTGCGATTAGTCGATTGTAGAAAATCAATCAGCAATCATTTTGATTATCAAATAATTGTTTTGAGTCAAAAAAGGCCAAACATCTCTGGTTCCAGCTTCTCAAATGTGAATTTTGCTGGTTTTCAGTCTTCTATGATTCTAAACTGAATATACAGTTAGGTCCATATATATTTGGACACTGACACAATCTTGTTTAAGATATTTAAGCTGTTTACCAAAACATATTCAAGATACAGTTATCATTATATAAGACTCTCAGCTTTAATTTGAGGGTATTTACATCCAGATTGGAGGAAGGGTTTAGGAATTACTTTAATATGTAGCCGCTTCTTTTTGAAGGGACCAAAGATAATGGGACAATTAACTCAAATGCAATTTCATGGGCTGCATGGGCTAGTCCCTCGTTAACCCATCATCAGTTAAGCAGGTAAAAGGTCTGGGGCTCTATCTTGCACTCAGCGCAATTGACTTTGTACACTGGCGCTTGTATAATTCCTATTTTGCACTCGACGCACATTGGAATTTTCCCTCCACCGACGCACGTCCTTAAATTAGGGAATGAACTTGCGCTCCGGGGGGCGGTTCAGCGAAAAGAGGAGGCGTGTTCCGGCGCAAACGTTCCCTGGTGCTATTTTGCTGTTTCAGAAAACAATTCCGCCACAGACCAGGAAAAACCTAGTCTAAAGTCAGTGGCGCTGGGCGCAGACTTGAGGGGATGCGCCTGAGAGGCAGCAGCAACATCGCCACCCGGTCAAGACGGGCATTAATACTTTGCCGCATCCCGGACAGCTCCCGCTCCAGCATGTCAAACCCGGTTTGCTGCAGGAACGGGTGGTCCTCCGGCGTGTAGTGGGTCTGGATCCTCTGCACCTTGGTGTTTGCGCCGCTCCCTCCTCAGCTGGCCCTTGCGCACTGCTCCCGAGGCCAGGGTCTTCTTCCTGCGAAGCTGCGTTACATTGTTTGGATTTATTGTGTTACATTTATTTCATGTCAATAATGTCACTTCTCGGTATTTCACGGCCCTGACGAGAACGTTGGTCTCCTCGGCTGTGAACCGCTCCTGGCGTGCGCCTGGCCAATCCGCCGTTATAATAGCAATCCGCCATGGAACAAGCACGCCTGCTTTTAAAGGGAATGTGAGATGACGCTCTGATTGGTTTATTGCACGTTACACCCAAACCACACCTATGACTAATGTAGCTACTTCAGACCAACCCATTTTAGATTTGCGCCGGGCTCAAGAGTCATTTATCCCGCCGGCATAATAGCAACAGCGCCCGAGAGCCGCCCACAAAGCTATTCGCGTTTTGCGTTTGATACTTGCGCTTCAGATCGGCAAGATAGGGCCCCTGGAGTTGATTCCAGATGTCGCATTTGCATTTGGAAGCTGTTGCTGTGAACCCACAACATGCGGTCAAAGGAGTTCTCAATGGAAGTGAAACAGACAGAAACCTTAGGCTGCAAAAAAAGAAGAGATCCATCAGAGAGATAGAGGAAATATTAGGAGTGGCCAAATCAACAGTTTCTCAGTTCCTGAGAAAAAAAGAGCGCACTGGTGAGCTGGGAAACTCAAAAAGGCCTGGACGTCCACGGAAGACAACAGTGGTGGATGATCGCAGGATCATTTCCATGGTGAAGAAAAACCCCTTCACAACATCCACCCAAGTGAAGAACACTCTCCAGGAAGTAGGTGTATCAGTATCTAAGTCTACCATAAAGAGAAGACTTCATGAGAGCAAATACAGAGAGTTCACCACAAGGTGCGAACCATTAATCAGCCTCAAAAATAGAAAGGCCAGATTAGACTTTGCCAAAAACATCTAAAGGAACCAGCCCAGTTCTGGAACAGCGTTCTTTGGACGGATGAAACTAAGATCAACCTGTACCAGAATGATGGGAAGAAGAAAGTATGGAGAAGGCTCATGATCCAAAGCACACAACATGGTGGAGGCAGTGTGATGGCATGGGCCTGCATGGCTTCCAACGGTACTGGGTCACTGGTGTTTATTGATGATGTGACAGGAGACAGAAGCAGCCGGAGGAATTCTGAAGTGTATAGGGATATTCTTTCTGCTCAGATTCAGCCAAATGCAGCAAAGTTGATTGGACGGCGCTTCACAGTACAGATGGACAATGACCCAAAACATACTGCGAAAGCAACCCAGGAGTTTTTTAAGGCAAATAAGTGGAATATTCTGCAATGGCCGAGTCAATCACCAGATCTCAACCCGATCGCGCATACATTTCATTTGCTTAAGACAAAACTTAAAGCAGAAAGACCCACAAACAAGCAACACCTGAAGACAACTGCAATAAAGGCCTGGCACAGTATCATAAAGGAGGAAACCCAGCGTTTGGTGATGCCTGTGGGTTCCAGACTTCAGGCAGTCATTGCCTGCAAAGGATTCAAAATGAACATTTTATTTATGGTAATGTTAATTTGTCCAATTATTTTTGAGCCCCTGAAATGAGGAGACTTTGTATTAAAATGGTTGCAATTTCTAAACGTTTGATAGGATATTTTTGTTCAACCCCTTGAATTAAACCTGAAAGTCTGCACTTCAATTGAATCGCAGTTGTTCAAATCCAATGTGGTGGCAGGCAGAGCCCAAATCATGAAAATGGTGTCATTGTCCAAATATGTCAGGGCCTAACTGTATTTAGGTTTTAGACTGTTGCAGGTGCAAAATCAGAGACTAACAGATAATCTCTCGTGTACTACTGTAAGGATATAGTAAACGTTTCTGCAAATATGAGAAAAAAAACATTCTTACATAATGCAGCTTTAAGGGTGTTATTGTTAAATGCAAGGGAAATGATTTTGGCTGCAACCCCCCTACAGTGGAACAGTGAGACTGAGACAGATGTACATAATGGAAGAAATGACTGCTCAATGCAAATGGAAAAAAGATACTTTTATGCAGAGATGGACACCTGTACCTCTGTACCTCTGTAGCTCTGTACCTCTGTAGCTCTGTACCTCTGTAGCTCTGTAGCTCTGTACCTCTGTAGCTCTGTAGCCTCTGTACCTCTGTAGCTCTGTAGCTCTGTACCTCTATAGCTCTGTACCTCTGTAGCTCTGTAGCCTCTGTAGCTCTGTAGCCTCTGTAGCTCTGTACCTCTGTAGCTCTGTAGCCTCTGTAGCTCTGTACCTCTGTAGCTCTGTACCTCTGTACCTCTATAGCTCTGTAGCTCTGTACCTCTGTAGCTCTGTACCTCTGTACCTCTGTAGCTCTGTAGCTCTGTAGCTCTGTAGCTGGCTGAATTGAACTGAATTTAAAGACAGCCTTCCCCCTACAAGGTTTTGCTGTTAATTGAACATGAAAAAGAGCTTTGTTTAGTGCTCTACAAATAATCAAAATATGATACAACTCTATAAGGCCAAGTGCAATATCAGTAAAGCAATATCAGATGTGTGACAGACAGCATTATAATGACGCACTGGAGCGCTGCAGAGATTCCCGGCCTACAGATCCTGTTCTCCAGATCAACATGTGTTTAATACAGCCCTCAACAAATGTCACAGCATCCTGATTTATGGTTCTATTCAGTAAAAATGACATTTGGAATATAAAAATAATCATTCCCACTAATCGGGAATCAGAAGGCATTCTCAGAATCTGTCAAAACAACAACCGCCATATGCTTTTTCTTTTTCTTTACCATATCAAACAGTCCTACACGCAACACGTGATGCAACAGCGCATAGCAAACAATAAGGTGAAGTAGGAGTATTAATGTTAGCAGTGATATAGACTAAAAGAGACAATGTGCCCGGATTGAAAGTGAAACAGCTCAGCACGATAAATAATGTGTTCCGACTGTCAGCCATAACTTCCTGCTGTCAAACAGTTAGCATAGCATGTGCTTCAGTTGGTTACATGTAAACTGACTCAGCTAACGGTGGTGAAGTGTGCTCAACAGGGCTAACGGTGGTGAAGTGTGCTCAACAGGGCTAACGGTAGTGAAGTGTGCTCAACAGGGCTAACGTTAGCTCACCTTCGGCCTGTGAACTTGTTGTCGTTAGGTTGGAGCGAGTGGCCAACCGTGCCACGGTGGCAGTGAACGTTAACGCTCATAATGCGCTGACAGGGGAGGAGTTAGTGTCAGTGTCGATGTAACAAACAACAGCAACGTTACACAACAACCGAACTGTCAACATGCCTTCTTCACTGGAACTGACGTTAGCCTGCTAGCTAACCACCAGACAGCTAACAAACTGTCAACATCTGAACATAAGCCGTGTGTAAGCTACACGGTTAGCTAACCTACTCAGACACAGTCTGTCTTCAGAGTGCTGCACTGACCTGTAGTGAGAGTAAACTGGGAACAGAGAGAATGATCGTTACCTGAATGTGACTCTTTATTCACCAGATCACCGCTGCTAGCTAACGTTACACGGTCGGTCAGGTTTGTTTATCCTCTGAGAAACAGACATGCGCGGGGATGATGCATTCAGAAGCGTAGGAGAGACCGAACTCCAGTTTAGAAAGGAATTCAGTTCAGTTCAGTTGTGTGCCAGCAAGAAGAAGTACAGACTTGTGGAGTCGAGATTCTTGGAAAATGAATGATACATTTGCCTACGCTTTAAGCTGATAAAGGAGCTACTACTTAAAGCTGCAGTAGATCATTTTTATAAAATATATATGTTTTTGTCATATTTGCCGAAGCTTTCACTATATCCTGACAGACAGACTGACAATCTGTGAAACAATCAGGTTTTTTCGAGAAAGATAGTTGATTGTTGAGTCTCATTCCAAAGTCGTCGAATACAGACGCTTTGGGACAACAGAAAGACATTTTTTAACTATCTTCAAGCCTCCAACCCAAAGCATCTTTACATCTCTCTCGGTTCTGATTCATGGATCGCGGTTTCAAATTGGCCAGCCCATCTGCACCGTCATATTTTTCGGCCCTTTGTTTTCAGTAAAAGTTAAAAGCTAACAAGAAGAAGGGCAACGGCAGGCCACCAGCAGTTGAACCAGCATTAACCTATAGTTTTTTGGATAGCAGAATTTATTGCTGTCACATAGGCTGATAAGATGGCTTTTTAATTTAAACAGCACTGATCAAAATAGAGTTTCTTCAACAGACCACAACATTTGATTTCTTATGTATGGTAAAGTCAGAAAGGTCATAGAATAATCATTTTACTTTTAGATTTGCTGCAGTTTACACTTACACAGTTGGTCTCATGTGTACGGGGAGCGATTTGTACCAAAAGAAAAACAGGAAGAATAGAAAAAAGAAAACACAACAAGAAGAGCAAACATGTTGTAAATATGTAGTCTGCACTGCAGTGCAAGCAGGTTCAAATAATCCTGAACTAACCCAGATAATAAGAGAACAGTCTGAAGTTGGATTCATCCACTGGGTGGCAGTGTTGTGTTTGAGGACATCAGTGCTGATTCATTCATTCATCCGCCAGTGTTCATCAAACGTTTAAGTCAGGTCATGTTGTACCTGGGACTGATTCAACCTTTGACCTCAGAAATCATGTCACGTAAGATGATTACAAACTTCATGTTTCAACATATTGATTACTTTTTCTTTCTTTTTTTTTTTTTTTTTTACAAACGTTTAGAAGAAACTGAAGTGAAGTCAAATTGAATTATGTCATTGGCAGATTATTTTTGTTCTTGTTTCAAAAGACTAAATGACGTCTCTCAAGTGTGAGCTCTAGTCACTTCCAAATATAAATGTAGGTCTATTGTATATAGTTCATGACAAGTGCTCGTGGAAGAAGGCTAACCTTGTTAAAAAAGACAGAACTAGATTGTAAATGTAACTAAGGACGAGGACGTAATGTGAGTGAGATCATTTTTGAGCTTAATTTAAATGTAGAGGAGGACATTTGACTACATTTTCACTCACACTATCTGGTGCTGATTATGATGTCATTTGCCACAAGGTCTGTCTAAGTAATGACATCACTGCTGCTCAGTCTCCCATGCTCTGTCTTTGGCACGACCAGATTTCAGTTACTGAGATAAATAGAACATGTCAGCACAATATCCCCATCATCACTACAAACACTGACGAAATGCTCTGAAACCCAAATGTGCTGTCAGCAGCAGGAGAGCAGAGTCTGCACTCAGCTCACACTCAAACAGACAGGCTGAGAGGACTGGTTTTATTGGGAGGACTGGTTATGATGGCACATAGCGCTGAGAGGACTGGTTATACTGGGAGGACTAATATAGTGGGACATAGAGACTGAGAAAACTAGTTATACTGGGACATAGAAGCTGAGGGGACTGGTTATACTGGGACACATAGGCTGAGAAAGCTGGTTATACTGGGACATAGAGCCTGAGAGTACTGGTTATACTTGGACAGAGGCTGAGAGTACTGGTTATACTGGGACATAGAGGCTGAGAAAACTGGTTATATTGGGACATAGAGGCTGATATGACTGGTTATACTGGGACAGAGTCTGAGAGGACATGGGATATATTATGTCAACTTGCATGCACTCTTAACCTGTGACTGAACCCACACACTCTTGATCTTTTACCGTCAGACCTCAGGGCCTCTGTGTGTGCTGAGTTGTAGTAATCCATCAAAAATTCAGAGTACATTAAAAATGTAAAAGAAAAAAAAAAGACTCTATTTAGTTGGCTGCAGCAGGTATTCTTAATAAAATGATTTTGTCAGATTTGTTGCATTACAATGCATGGTCCCATTCCAAATTAAACAGGTCATACAATTCGCTTGAATAAAGAGCTCAGCGATTTTGGCCATACGTTAACATTTTCAGCATATGTAAGTATTTATCATATATTCACTGCAGCAGTTGAGCAGTTTTGCTATTGCAATATGGTGCAGTACTTCCAACTGCCTTTGGTATTTGGTGCAAATATAAACAGTTTTAAAACACTTTAAACTGCTTTATCCTTGGGGTATGGTTATCTAACACAACAGAAATATTTAATTGCTGTCTTTTTTTTAAATGTACTGTATTATTTATTTAGAGGCCAGTTCAGAGAGTCAAAATAAAAAGTCAAAGCCTTTACTTTTCTGAAAAGCTAAACACTGATGCATGGTAGTAATCTAGTAATATAAATGATAAAGTGAGATATTGAATCAGGTCCTCAAAGTTCCTACTTTCTCTTCTACATAATGCATGGCTGTAGTTAAGATCACTGTGTGGAGTCCAAGCCAAATCCAAGACCAGGGACAGCTGAATGTGATGCAAGGTCCAGACGGGGACCAGACCAAATCCTGGCTGAGACCAGAACTAAAACCAAAATAACCAATGTCTTTCTGAAATGCTTCTAGTTTCCGAGGGATCAATGGATATATGGAGTCATAAATCTGTTGGAACTTTTGCCAATTATCGTCTGAAAACACCCGGACTCCCCAAGAACCTATGCCAGGATCCTGTTTGTGGATTTCAGCTCTGCTTTCAACAGCATCATCCCAGCTTTGTTACAGGACAAGCTCTCCCAGCTCACTGTGCCTGCCTCCACCTGCAGGTGGATCACAGACTTCCTGTCTGACAGGAAACAGCATGTGAAGCTGGGGAAAAATGCCTCTGTCTCTCAGTCCATCAGCACTGGATCCCCCCAGGGCTGCGTTCTTTCTCCTCTGCTCTTCTCCCTGTACACCAACAGCTGCACCTCCAGTCACCAGTCCGTCAGGCTCCTGAAGTTTGTTGATGACACCTCCCTCATTGGGCTCACCTCTGGTGGAGATGAGTCCGCCTAGAAGAGATGGTGGAGATGGTTGTGGACTTTAGAAAGAACCCAGCCCCACCTGCCCCCATCATCCTGTTTGACTCCCCAGTTGACTCTGTGGAGTCCTTCCGCTTCCTGGGTACCATAATCCTTTTTGTTTGAGTTGTATATTTTTGTGTGATTTGTATATTTTATGCACCAATGCACAAAGAGAAATTCCTTGTATGTGTAAAAACCTACCTGGCAATAAACCTAATTCTGATTCTGATTCTGATAGTGTTTCACATATCCAAATGTTTTTTTCCCTAACTTTTAAGCCAGGCATTGGTTTCCATCATAGTTCACACTGAGCATATGTGAATGTTTTAGGTATGCTGTGTTACAACTGTTACTGCATTACCATTTAGGAATAATGTACCAAATTATCACTAAATAAAAGGAAAGACACGTGTTCATTCTGATGGATTATGTACTGTTGCCATAGACTGTATAATGAACAGTGTTTTTTTTTTTTTTTTTTTTTTTTGGGGGTGGGGGGGGGGTTTTTTTTTTATATTCAAAACAAAAATAATATATTAATTTATTAAACCAACTGAAGATAATAATTTTTTTCCCCTTCGAAGAGCAGCTGTCGCCTGCAAGAGTCACCGTCACTATCCAGCAGTCAATCCGGCAGCACTGTTTCTGCTGCACTGCACCCTCGCTACGTTCTGTGTGACCAAGATTAATTGCTGCTGCTGTATTTTGTAATTCTGTTGTTCTGGTTCACTGTACCAACACTGCTTCTCTGTCTGGAGTGGACACGATCATTTTGTAGCAAAATGTGGCCGCAGTCCTTCATTCATTCGGTAGCCTATCCCAGCATGCAGTGGAGTTTGCATTTTTTAAAATGTTCTGCCTACAGAATAGTCACTTTAACTTGCAGCACAAACTGTAGGATAAATCAATAGATATACTGGGCTGAGACTGTTGATATTTATACATTATAATTATTGTCTCCATTTGTGTCTAGGTCACTTTCTCTGCTGTCTGGGAGGCCCCTGACTAAGTGATATACTTTATAGATATTTCATTTGATATTCAAAACTGTACAATGAACCCAAACAATAAACTCAGTATCTGCAGAAAGTATGTGTAAAACAAGTGATTTGGATGAATTATGAGCAGATTATTTCCTGTTTAGAGAACTCATTTTTTCTTGTCCATGACACTTGGCCATTGTTCTATGAGACAATCAGCTTTACATTCTAGATTTACTTTTCTTCACAGAAGTGTACCAAATGCTGAGATATAGGTCTACTGTGTATATTCAAAAAGGCCTCGCAAACCCCCATGAAGTTTTGACAGCCCTTAGTAAGGGTTCCGGCCCCCAGGTTGGGAACCACTGTTGCCCTAACTATTCATAGTTTTCGTGGGACGTTACACCCTCATTGGAACACCCCCTTGGAGGGCAAAACAAGGCTTTCTTCTGCTGCTTTAAGTGACTGAAATACTGCAGTGGGTGATGTATGCGGCTGTGGCTCAGAGGCAGAGCGGGTCCTCCCATAATTGGAAGGTTTTTGGTTCAATCCCCAGCTCCTCCTGCCACATGTCGAAGTATCCTTGAGCAAGATACTGAACCCCAAATTGCTCCCGATGCTGTGCATTGGTGTGTGAATGTGTATGAATGAGTTAGTTTCTGTTTGATGGACTTTGCCATCACTGAGTGAATGTGTGTGAAAGGGTGAATGTGGCATGTAGTGTAAAAGTGCTTTGAGTGGTCGGAAGACTAAAAAGGCGCTATACAAGTACAGGTCCATTTACCATTTACCATATGAATCACAAGTACCCAAACTTGCACTTTGCATGGCTTGAAAATCAATGGATAATTCACATGCCTCTTTTGTAGTTCCAATGCAGTTTTCATTGTAAGCTGACCATATTGGAACAATGTTTTGCCCTCATGCCAGTTACGTGACTGAAAACTATGAATTGTTTTGGGGGTTGAGGGGATTTTAACCACCTGCAGCTTGTTGCACCAGCTGTGTTTAAGTTCAAACTTAGCCTAGTTATACCATAAATAACACAATTACAATCAATTAAGAAATGAGAAAAAGATTGTGGATGCATTAATAATGTAAGTTAAATGTATTTTCATTTGTTTGTTTGCAAATATTCAGATTTGTAACATTTTCTTTTCATATTCCTTTTGTATAAAATCATCCACCATCCACCTGTTAGAACCATCCTTACCTACCCATTGAATGAAAAGAATATTGAAACGGATTTCTGGATCCTGTGTTTAAAAATGCAAACCACATCAGATGTTCTGTGTGCCAACGCCACCATCGCAATAGCTTTTTCAACCCTTCCTTCCTCTCGTGTCATAATCAGAATCTCCTCATCCGGTCCATCTGAACAATTTAGGTTTAGTCCTTTAAAATCCAGTGTTGGGCAAGTTACTTTTAAAAAGTAATTAGTTACAGTTACTAGTTACTTCTTCCAAAAAGTAACTATATGAGTTACTCAGTTACAAATTATAAAAGTAACTAGTTACTTCAGAAAGTAACTATTGCGTTACTTTCAAGTAAATTGTTAAATGCTCAAATGTGACCCCACCTCCACCCCTCTTTAACGGAACTCAAAATACATGTTCAATTATTTATGATAAATCTGAATATTATAATGAGATGGACACTTAATACAATACATTATTAACAGAAACAATGTACACAAGTCTAAACTATTTTAATGTTGCTGTGGGACAAAGTGAGACTTAGCCTCCAATCAAATGCCATGTATGTAGATATTATGTTTATATAGTGGATCCATACAAATAACACAATAGATGTTTTGAACTTTTGATATTTTTTGGACAAAATTCAGTTATGCTTGTTAAGCACTATACCAAAAATAAATAACAAATATATACACTCTTTGTAGTGCAAATAAAAAAAATAAAAAATACAGCTCCATAAAAATAAATCTCTTTCTCTGGCCATTGACAATCTCACTTCAAGAGGCTGCAGCCAGCCAACAAATAAATCTAAATTAAATGATGCTCTTTAAGCAATGTACCAAAAATGTATTCAAACAATATATACACTCTTTTTAGTGCAAATGTAATAAGATGCAGCACAACTCGCCATACCTGTCTCTCGTTGACTGACTCGCTTGTGTTGTTCGTTGTGTGTTGGACTATGCGTGCTTTCGAACACCCGCCCAACTCTACCTCTGATTGGCTTACCATGAAATTTTACTCAACCTCAGCCAATCGTCAGCATTTATGTGCTTGTCTTGTGCACTGCCCACTAACCAAGGAAGAACAGTAAAAAAAAGTCTTTGCCTCTCGGCTCAGAGATCTAGTTGGTCTGATGAAAAAAACAGATTCAATTATAGTTATTGGCAGTAACAGTAACGGCGTTATTAAGATGGGAAGAGTAATCAATTAGATTACTTGTTACTGAGAAAAGTAACGCCGTTATTTCCATCACTGTTAAAATCAAACCCAATCAGACATCATTCGATGAGGTTTTCTGCATGTTAAGTTATAAATACAGATGAAAACAAAAATACAAAATAAAACCAAAAAACTAATTCAAACTAATTTGAAGAAGTTACCAGCCATTGCATCTACATGCACAGCCGTTGCCATGGCAATTCAAACCCCATGCTTCCTTTCCCAATGACTGTAGGCAATTTCTAAAGCTAGATAGCTAGCTAGTCTACCGATCACAGCATCTCAGTGTGCAGCCGTTGTCATAGCAATATGATAAAATATAGAAAAGCAGAATATCCTCACATTAGAGAAAATGGAACCAGACAATGGTAAATGACAAAAACGGACAAAAACATATTAGCACGATTATACTCAGTGGTGACCAAAAGTGTGACATTTGAATGTACATATTACATGTTCTGTTTGACCTCCTCACTGCTGATTGAGTGACTATTTTTATTCTGAGTGTCTCTGATGAGCTCCGGTCGGCAGTTCAAATCAGCTGCTGCTATGATTAGCTTCTGATTGGTCCTAATGCTGAAATTGCAGTCCTTGTCATTTCCATTGACCACACAAGTAGGCAGTGATTGTGTCAGAGGGAGTGTCGGAGTAAATCAGCAGTTCTCAGAGTGTTGTCTGAGTACGTGCATGCTGAGTGGGAACCGAAAGCACTGTGACAGCACATATTTCTTCACCTTCACTAACATGAGCAGGGACATGGTGCCCTCCTCCAGAGAATAAGTGTGGATGTGTGTGCGCCCAAAGGTTTATAATATGGAGGTTTTTATCCATGTATTTGCATGGATTATGCAAGTAGAGGGGTTTAAGACCAACCACAAACCAAGTGCCAGTAAATTTCCTGCTGACTGTGTCAATTGTATGACACAAACCAGCAGGTAATCAGAGGCACAGGCTCCCAGCATGCATTGGATAAGGGCACACCATCACATCGTCTGCTCACTGGGAGCAAACCAGAACATTTGAAGGAAACCCACACAAACACAACGTGCCAACACATGAAGTCTAACCAGGACAATGAGCCACTGTGCCGCTGTCCTCTCGGAGTTGTCTTACTTGACAGCATACGGTGCTTAAAGCATGACTGGTTTAACTCAACCTCCTCCATATTTGAGGTCTATGGTTCCTGGAGAGCAGTGGCTCTATTTTGAAATGTACACTTGCCAGACACATTGCATGACCAAGAACACAAAGAGCTTTATTTTTTAAAGCTGCTGTAGAGTACTTTTGTAAAAAACATTTTGTCATATTTGCCAAAATTTAGATAAGATTAAATAATCTGTGAAACAATCAGGTTCCTCTGGCTCCTCCTCGTGCTCCTAAAGGCATTTGCAAGAATCCACCAGGCCTGAACGATAGTTGATTGTTGAGTCTGATTCCTAGGTTGACACTGGTAATGAGACTCAAAAATCAACTATCTTCAAGCGTCCAACCCAAAGCGTCTTTCTATCTTTCTCAGCTCTGATTGGGTGTTTTCATTCAGACCTCTCTGTGATGTCACTAGATGTGGTTGATTTGTACAACAGTGTTCCTATACAGCTAAGACATGGTGAGGACCATTCTTGTTTCTCATTTGGGCGGATAAGGAAATGTCAGCCAGTGTGTCCCCTTTGTTTCCTTCTGCCTCCTACCAAGGCTCAATTTATGAATTGCAATTAGAAAAGGTCATACCATGACAGTGTATACATGGTCGCCATGGTGGCAGAGAGTTATGTGTGTTGTCACTATCTTTAATGGGGAAATGTGATTCAGGAGGTAGGAGGACCGGTGCTACCGAT